ATCGTGCACGGATCGGAGTCTGGATATCGAATTTTGCTTGCAGAACTAACTAAAAACTGCTGCCGGAACGGCCCGTGTTGGTTCAGGTGTGTTGGTGGTGGGCATTATTTGACTGAACATGCGCTCTGTCGAAACATTCAGTTGATTATAAGGGCTTCTGCTCGGTGAGAAGTTTTTTTACAGTTCAACTAATTTTGAACTTGAAATTTTATGATTTTTGATGCTCACATATACTTTTTAATTGTAGAAAACGTCGAACTTCTCTGAAAATCATTTATACGTTTGCCTCAGGTCGCCTATGCTAACGAGCCTATGTAGAGACTTGATGCGCCAAGGATCTCTTATTCCAGTGCTCCTGCTGTTGCACTTGGGCGTGCACGACTTCATGCAGTACGAGAAGTGAGTGATTAGGCCAAACGTGCATTATATTTTAGGAATAGTCTTTTTTACTACTCGCATGAGGAAGTCATTTCCGTGTAAAACTATCAGTCGCACTCTTTAAAGTTCTTCTCTCGTTTCAACCCTCATTGTGTGTTGAGCTTGAAGTTTTCAGAATAACAAATTAAATTAAAAAGCAAACGAGTTGCAATTTTTAATAAGAAGTCACATGTCCTTCATTGTACTAGCGCATCAGTGAATAAATCGCCGATATAAGAACAAAATTTGATCGTAGGAAAGTTGCACCATTTGCGTTGTACGTAAAAACGAACAACTCCGAGGTAACCACTTCCAGGAAATAACCTATTTTGTGCATTTGCATACACATGTACCACGAGTGTTTCTCTGTATCCTAACCAAAATTAACAGAAATTAAATATATTAGTTTAATCTTAGAGGTTTGGACGATGATGACAATCGTGCATAAAATAAGAAAGCTTAATTTATAATCCTATCACTATGGAAAGTAGGATTGTATGCCTGGTAATTAGCTCGTTTTTTTTTTTTTTTTTTTTTTTGCGCAGTGTGGAAGTGTCTTACATCTCTTATTGCCAACCCCCACCTTTCCTCTTGTCAATTTTCCATCGATACTCCCCTCGTCGTCGGATGCTGTTGACGGACTTTGCAGTTTTGTCACCGTCAGGTGAGGATGATTTGCGTTTAATTCATTTTGAACTTATAAAGCTGCTCGAGATAAAGCGGGCTAAGATACTTCATAGAAATTTTCGTTGCAAAAAAAAAAAGCGCAAGCTCCATGAATTGTTAGTTTCAATTTAAATTTCGGAATTAGTGCCTCGAAAAATGATCGATTTCGGTGGAGAGGAAATTACGTGCCATTGCAAGGGGCTGTGGTTGGCAACCTACGAAAAACGTAGGAATTATGAAGTAACCGATTACTTTTCATGCAGAATGAATTAATTTAATGAGGAGCTCTTATAAGCGACTGTAGTTAGTTACTGTTGTGGAACAGTCAATCATCTTGGAACTAAACAAAAATGACTTGAATGACCAAGTGTTTGTGTGCAGCGCCGCTGCGGTCGCTGAAGGAGTTATGTCGCCTCTCCATTCGCGCGTCCCTCGGTCACTGTAGAATAGAAGAAAAAACGGAAAGTCTACGAGAACATTTGCCCGGATATCTCCGAGGATACTTGTTCTTCAAACACGACTTTCATGTCGATGCTGCGCTTGCCGATTGATCGCCTCGTCGCCGGCTCGGACCTAGTGCACAAATGCCAATTTTAGCTCTGTGCACTTATTAAAGATTTATCAACAGCATATTTCCCTATTTTTTGTATGAGTCGCGCTAAACATTCCTACTTTTAGTCTAAAATACAATGCTAGGATGGTGCGCGTGAAATTGTTTTTTTATTTGGTGCAATAAAGCGATTTTATCGACGTCAATTAACACCCTCGTGATTATACATGTAGGCTAAGTTTGAGTGTTCAGTTATGTGCTCTGATAGCACATAGCAGCAGCATGCCTGAACTGAGTTAAAATGCCAGAAACAGAACAAGGTAAATCTAAATAATGCGTTTTTGTGCAATTTTGGTGGGGTATTAACGTAGTAAAATATTCTCGGAAAGAAGTCCTAAGCAAGTGCGGTAAGTGTCATGGGCAACATGGTTCACCGATTATGGGCTTGTTGACAAGTTATGTTTAAGTTGTGTATACTTTGATCGCTGCGCATCTTTCTCGTTTTAGAACTGAATTGTGATTATTGCTGTAAGTTAGCTGTTTGTGTTTGACAAGCTATTAACTCAAAGGCTGAACAAGCATCGAAACCAATGAATTGTTCAGACATCAGTGTCAGACATTAGTCCACAGTTGTTGAATAAATTTATATCTTTTAAACTTGTGGATCCCTATAAACAAATTATTTCAACTCAGTGATACACTTAGGATGAAAAATTTATGAGTACTCTCGTCAAAATTCTTAGTCTCTGCTCAGTAGTCAGCCAAGTAGCCACGGTTACTAATGAGCGTACCGATTGAAGACCAGAGCATGCTTTTTATTAACAATCTTCTTGTTCGTTTTTTCAATGAGTCGAACCAAATAACCTGCTTTTCGATCTCCCGACGCCAGCAAGAAATTTGGTTCGACTCATTGAAAAAACGAACAAGAAGAATGTTAATAAAAAGCGTGCTCTGGTCTTCAATCAAACTTGCATATATATATATATATATTTATAGTTCCACTTTACCGGACTTTAATTAATTTTTTTTCTAAATTGCAAAAAATATATAAAAAAAACTTGACCTGGCTGGACCTAACCTCAGTAAAACGGTCTCTAGCAACCTAAAGAAGGGTTTTAGACACTTCAAACCCTAA